CTTTCCACAACTTCTCTGTCTGAAATGCATCCACTATACAACTGGCTTAGAAAAGTTATTCCCCCTGAAGGTGCAATTCCAATCAGATCTTTCACTGTAGTATGATTTTTGTACAAACTAAAAAGCCTACTGTTTAATAACAAGCTACTTGGCATTTGACATTTTAGCAACTGAGGAGAAACTGGAGGAAGCCTCAGAAAGACCAGCACAACCTCGTGTTCATGAGCAGGCACAAGATAGGCCAGCCAATAAAAATGCCAAGCCAGTGTCGACATCGACAGACAACTATACGGACAAAAACAAAAACAGGTTACGGAAATGCCCTATGTGTGACTTCTCTGGCACACACCTACAGAAGCACATCTTGGCAAAGCACGGGGACACTGTCACCAGCAAGTGTAAAGCAGCTCGTGTAGTAGCAGTGTCTGAGAAGAAACTCGAAGCCGAAAACAGACCAACAGTCCGTGAACTTATACCAATGTGGGTACAGGGGCTGCAGCGCTGTTGTAACTCGAAAGAGCCAACATCTTAAAAGGAAGCACAAGATCTTGGACAAGGAAACCCACAAGGAGGCGCTGCAGAAGTTCAAGAGACTGGACAAACCAAAGAGAAAGGCGCCAGCTTCCAACACCAAACCTGAAAAGATTGAGAGCAGACAAAAAAGAAGTGTCAACTCTGGGGAGAGACAGCCTCCAGTGAAAAAGAAGTTCAAGGGTCCGTCAAGCAAGGAAATTGTGAAGGAGGTCGTTGAAACTTCTTCAGATGAAAAGGAGAGTTTCCATTCAGATGGGGATTCCGACGACAACATAGTAAGCAATACTGGCACTCTTGATCGAGAGGCAGACCTCGACGAAGGGGGCTCCTTTGCTTCAGATGATGACTCCAACTGGGAGGTACCTGTTGAGGCACAGACCTGGCGAAGCTACTACTTGAACCGAGAATCATCCACAAATGTCAGGGAGCACTATGTGGCAAACTTCCACAAATTCTTGCTGCACGTAGGAGGATCACTGTCTCAGGAACAAATACTAATACATGTAAGACAAGTGAGACAAGTGCACAAGATCTTAGAGCACCTTGACCCAGGAGGAAGTGATCTGGCATGCCTCGAACGAAATCAGTCACTGGACGTCTGGGACAATTTTGCAAGCCCCATGATGCAATCAAAGGCTCTCACTGGAAACACCATGAAGCTGTACATAAGAAGCCTTGAGATGTTTCTGAAGTTCATCTGGAGTAATCTCTTCATAAAAGTCCCTCTTCCCAGTGAGCAGAAATTCAAAATTGTGAAACTTCTAGAGCGCCTTCCCAATTACCGTTCTACAATACATTGCAGAACCGCATCGCAGTCAACAACAAGGAAGGTTGAAGAAACTTTCAGCCGCATGACCACCGACGACCTTCAGAACTTGGAGAACACAGAGCTCACCAAATTGGCAATTAAGTTAATTGGAGTGTCTACAGAGGGACACGTGGTGGACATGATTGAGTTTGCCCTAGTCTACGACTATCTCATGGTGACAATGCCGATTGAAAACGGATCACAGCCTGGTCTACTGGAAACTGCCAAACTAAGCCGTTTCAAACGTGCAACGTATGTTGAAGCTGAGGAGAAATACACTCTCTTGGTAGATGAACACAAGACAACTCGTCACCAGGGCCCAGCAGAGCTGACGATGGACAAGAGAATTTACTCCTACGTTAAGATCTATGCCTATTATATAAGGCCGGCGTTTGTAGAATCAGCAGCAGATGCCTTATTCATCAACACCAGAGGCCAACACTTCCAAAAGGGTACAATCGGAAAACATGTCCCCGAATTCTTCAAAAAGGCCGGAATAAGATGTGACATCAGGGTTACTCCAACAAGAGTGTGTAAATTCTACGAGACGGCCTCGAACCAAAGCCTCAACACCAGAGACCAGCAGCTTGTTGCAGATCACTTGAATCATCAAATTAAAACAGCTAGGCAAAATTACGTTGACAAGGTCAATGCGGTGAAGGCCAGCAGAGCCCACAGGGTTTTAAAGAGTCTTGTCCACCCACAATCTTCTGTAACCATCACAAAGGCAGCCTCCACTGAGGAAAAAACCCAGGAGCAGACACAGCCAGACGAAGAAGACCAAAACGTTCAACAAGAAGAAAGTACAGAAGATGAAGAGGATCTCCAGGTTGCTGGCTTAATGACCGAAGAGAAGGTAGTTGTTATGTCCATTTTCAACGACACCATAAGTATGGGAAGGATCCTCACCATGGCAGAAGTAAGACACGAGATGAAATCAGAGAAGGCCTTGCGAAAGTTCGTAGTTGATGCTGGCAAAGTAAAGAAGATTGCAGATTTTGTGCGGTACAACACACAGACTGTGAAACAGACAGCTCTCACAAATCTACCAGATGAGACTGAGGAGCAGACCTCCCTAACTGTTTCAAGTGGGCATGGGGAGTGGAATTGCAATGACGTGGAAGTCATCAACAGTTTCTTTGCGTCCTATTTCAACATGCCAAGCAAGAAAGAAGTCATCACGCTTTTTGAGAAAGATGTACATACTTCAAAGAGAAGGTTCACAAAGGTGCTACGAAAAGGTGAAGAACTTCTTCAGGAAGAAGGCCACAAAGTAGTGCCCTGAAGACCACTAAGGGTAGAAAATGGGCAAACGTTGAAAAGTCCATCTTTTTAATAATGTACGTGTAAGGCCTCTTATTGTGTTTGTTCTTTGTTCCGTTGAATGTGCCTGGATCCGAGGGTGGTTCCTGACTAAGGTCAGGTGAATTGCTCAATGACAGTGAAAGGTTTTGTTTTGTGTCGTATTGTGTTGTGTTGCACGGTTTGCACTGAATACCTTGAGGGTCGTAAAATTTCAGGTTGACCGTTGCAGTGCAGTGTGTCATAGTGTCTGTCGTGTTGAGGCCACAAACCAAAATGACAAAGGGGTCTTCCCTGCTCTTGTTGACGTCTTGCAGTTGCGTTTCTAAAAAACAAGAAAAACGCCAAAAAGAAGTTCAAATTAATTTTATAATTAGGAGTGGGTGGAGGTGGGGCGGGTGGACGTGGTGCAAGTGGAGGTGGTGAGGGTAGAGGTGGGGTGGGTGGAGGTGGGGTAGGTGGATGTGCAGGTGAATGACGGCCTAAATGGAATTGTCCCCGGAGTGCCGCTTCCCAGGGAGGGCCTCAACAAGTGCTTCTTTTTGCCCTTCTTCGCAGAGACCCCAGACAACAGCATGTACCTGGCCTTCATCAATTGCCAGGAATGACTGGTTACTCTTTGGGCCTCTGCAAAGAGCCACAATTTATTTCCCGTCACGGGGTACTTGTATTTGTTCGATTCAATGAAGGCCTGGAGCGCATGGTCCTCCGCTGGCGTGTACCTAGCACGGCGGCTCATGGTGACTGGAGCAGCTACAAAAAACGTTGCAGGAAAGAAAACCTTGCCTTAGTCTCTAATGAGGACCTCAAGTTCTAGTAACGAGTTCCCATACTTACAGACATTATAGTTTGAGGTGAAACCAACATTCTATACAGATAGCTACTTTTGCATTCTATAATGTCTAGATTTGAAAGCCTGCCTCAACATTATCTTAAAGTTCTAAGCAGTAAAAGTCTGGTATACTTACAGACATAAGAGTGAAACCTGGCACTCACGTGACCCACACAACAGATAACCCTTGTTGCATTCTATCTTTGCTTCAAATTGCAAGTCAAACAGTTCAATCCTCTTTGAGTTATTAGCAGTTAAAGTTTCCCCTCATTTTCACATTCAAAAATCACTGAGGGCATGGTACCAACAAACTTGTGTCCGCCATTTTGTATAAAACTTTAACTGCTAATAACTTTGTGAGGATTTTATCATTTGCTACGAAATCTGGCATGCACGTAGCCTATGTCAAGGCCTATCCGACGCTACAATTTGCTGGCCAAATGGTTAAAACCTCGTAAAGTTATTAGGGTGTAAAATTTTGACACAAATGATGTCATAACTAATCAACAAAGGAACCGATTTCCAAAAAATCAAAACCAAACGGTTCCTTACAACATGAACAAGCATGATATAACATCAAAACATCAATCAAAGGTCTCCAGTTCTAATAACGAGGTCCTTCAACAACATATTGGTCAAGATAGCACCTGTTTACTTTCTACATTTCACAAGTCTATATTTGAAATCAAAAAAAGTTTTTTTTTTGTAAGTTTTTTTCAAACTTTGCAATTTTTTTTGAAGTTTGAAGGCAAATATCTGACATAATTTAATAGTTAAAAGAACGAGAAAGGTAT